TACCAAGCAGGGATTGAAATACCAGTATCTACCTTACAGAGTTGGTGGAGAGCGACAGGAATCACAGGAAGAGCCCAGCGCAGCCTCCCACACGGCACTAAGGACGCCCAGCACCATGGACTCCCCCGTGCCCCCACGGCATCCAGCAGCCTGCTCTCTGCTGCACTTGTTGGTGGGAGAGGGCACTAAGGACGCCCAGCACCATGGACTCCCCCGTGCCCCCACGGCATCCAGCAGCCTGCTCTCTGCTGCAAACAGCAACACCTCACTCCAGGAGTCCGAGTTCGTGTGAGTGCTTGCCAAGGAGCAAACGGGGCCACAGGTGCTCCCCAGTTAGATGCTTCTGATAGGGGCAGGCTGAGAGCCACTGCAGGGTCAGCTCCTGCTCCCAGGAGGCCACAGATGAGCCTCTGCCCCCGAGCCTGCAGCTGTCCCTAGACGAGGGCTTCACAGTGGCCTCGTGAATGCACAGGTGGAACTGCAGTGACAATTCACAGCCTGGACCAAAATCCCCAAGGGCCCTGGGTGTCCGCCTTGCTCCCCCATGACACTGGCCTGCCCTGCCTTCTCCTGTGCAGTCAGCCTTGGGCGTCTGTTAACCATGATCAGCAAGGAGGGCATCACACACCCATGTCCTGTCCCATGTATGTGCGTGGCTCCCTCATAGCACTTACAAACCACAGGGTATCCAGCATGCTAGTTCTGATTTGCTTTCATTTCAAAAGACAGAGGAAGGTGTTCCCACATGTGAGCCACAAACTGCCACTTCGCTCTCCACTTAGGATGGCAGAGGGAACGCCGGAGCCTTTCCCGTGACAGACGCCAAGGCAACGACAGCACCAAGCAGGTCAGTGTCACACACTGAAGGTGCCACCAAAACCCACACAGCTCAGATGTCCACGGGAAGCTTGTATGCTGTTCCCAGGAAACGACACGACATGGGTGGCACTGCCCCCGCTGCTCACAGACAATCCCCACTGGGAGCCTGACGGCCGAGCCTGCCCAGGACAGGCATCTGCCCAACTCCCTTATGGAGAACTCGGGATCTGTTTACCCTCTGCCCACTGAGAGGAGCACGCAGTGCCGCGGCACAGAGCACCGCACAAACCGAGGAAACCCACCGCATCTGATGCTTGAAGCCTGCTAAGACGCCCCTCGACTGTCTCCGTTGCTACCGTGCCCAGTGCTAAGCCTGCTTGTGAACGACATGAAGACAATGTTTTCTTAAGCACCAGCACAAGACAAAGGAACTTCCCGATGGGTCGTCAGACACTGCAGAGACAGCAAATTCTATGCAGGCTGCCATGGACTGAACTGTCTGTCCCTCTGACATCCATGTGCTGAGGCCCTGGACCCCAAGGCGAGGGCTGAGGAGGCGAGGCCATTGGGAGGTATCTGGGGTGGCTAAGCTCAGGAGGGTGGGGTCTCTCCCTGATAAGAAGAGGTAGAGGCCGGCACAGTGGCTCACTAGGCTAATCCTCCACCTAGCGACACCGGCACACCAGGTTCTAGTCCCGGTCGGCCTGCAGCACCAGAATCCCATATGGGTGCCAGGTTCTAGTCCCGATTGCTCCTCTTCCAGTTCCAGCTCTCTGCTGTGGCCCAAGAGGGCAGTAGAAGATGGCCCAAGTGCTTGGGCCCTGCACCCGCATGGGAGACCAGGAAGAAGCACCTGGCTCCTGGCTTCGGATCAGTGTAGCTCCAGCCATAGTGGCCATTTGGGGGGTGAACCAACAGAAGGAAGACCTTGCTCTCAGTCTCTCCCTCTCACTGTCTGTAACTCTACCTGTCAAATAAATAAATAAATAAACTTTAAAAAAAGAAGAAGAAGAAGAGGTAGAAACACCAGAGTTCCCCTCGGCCTCCTCCATGTGAGGACACAGTGAGTGGGAATCCCACTCTGCCAGCCCCGTGGTCCCGACCTTCCCAGTCTCCAGACGTGAGAAGGCAATTTCTGCTGCCTGAGCCATGTGTCCTGCGGCGCTCTGTTCCAGCAGCCCCAGCTGCCCAACGTGGAGTAGAAGAGACCCCAACAAGCTCCCTATTACAGGAAAGTAGGTGACATGGCCATGCAGGAAGCTGAGCCACACACGCACGGATCGGAACTCTGAGATCTGGAACAACTCCCCAGAGAAGCTGGGGGAATTCTGAGGGGGACATGCTCACAAGAAAGAACAGGAACACAACCCAGAACCCACACACTCGGGGAGGAGCAGGCGAAAGAGGCCCCACTCATGATCCACGCCACAAGACACAAAGCCCTTTGCCTGTCACGGCCAGAGCACTGGGAACACAGGACAGAACGAGACAGGGCCCTGTGCCACACACCTTCTAAAGGATGGCATCTGGCCTCGGGCTTAGGACACCCATGTCACACGTCAGGGCTCGGCTCCTGACTCCAGCTTCCTGCCAGGGCAGACCCTGGGAAGCAGTGGTGATGGCTCGAATAACTGGGTTCTTGCCACCAATGTCGGGGACCTGGATTGAGTTCCTGATTCCTAGTTTCAGCCCTGGGGCCACTGGGGGCATTGTGGGAGTGAACTAGAAAATAGGAGATCCCTCTCCCCTCTCTCTTTCTCTTTCTCTCTCTCTGCCTCCTTTGCCTTCCAAATAAAATGAAAATAAATTAAAATTAAATGCCTGTGATAGTGGTTTGTGCTAGAGACTTGATATCTATATATGCACACATTCACACATACATACACACATATCCCAATAAGTAAATAAATAAATAAATAAATTTTTGATCATAAGACCCAAAACTCTAAAACGACTAGAGGAAAGCAGAGGGAAAGGTCTATGGCATTGGTCCGAGCAGTAATTTCTTGCATGTGATCCCAAAGGCGTGGGCGACAAAAGCAAAAACAGACATATGAGATCACATACAAGAAAATCCTTCTCCAAGCAAAGGAAACAAGTAACAGAGTAGAGAACTGACCCGCACACTGGGAGAGGATATCTGAAATCATTTATCAGGTGAGGGGCTACTATCTAAATACAAAGAACTCAAATGAATCAGTAACAAGAGAACAAACAGCCCCTGAATGGATGTTTCTGGAAAGAAGACATACAAGTAACCATCGCCAATTATCAGAGAAATGCAAATCAAAATCACAACGGAGAGGCCAGGGCTGTGGCACGGCGGGTAAGCTGCCACCTGGGACGCGGACATCCCACGTGGGCACTGGTTTTTGTCCCACTCGCTCCACTTCCGATCCAGCTCCCTGCTAATGACCTGGGAGAAGCAGTGGAGGACGGCCCAAGTGTTTGGGCCCCTGCGTCCAGATGAAGCTCCTGGCTCCCGGCTTCGGCCTGGCACAGCTCTGGCCATTGTGGCCACCTGGGGAGCAAACCAGCAGATGACAGAGCCCTCGCTCTGTCTCTCCCTCTCACTGTAACTCTAACTTTCAAATAAACATATAAATCTTTAAAATAAATAAATAAAAATAAAACCACAATAAGTATCAAGTCACTCCACTAGACTGGCTATTACCAAAAGACCAGGCCACAGGTGCAGGTGAGAATGTGGAGAAACAGGGATCCGGCACACTTCTGATGGGAACGTCAGTCAGTACAGCATGTTGAAAACGAGCATGGAGGGTCCCTAAAAGCTCACACACACAAACACACAGAGAGGGACAACTCAAACTCTCCCACGACCCTGCCAGCCCACATCCCGATTTATGTACATGTGCATGAAGTATACATGTACATGGGTGTAACGTGCGTGTGTACATGTGTGCGATATCTGTATGTGACACGTATATGTGTGGATGTGTGCAATATGTACGTATGAGTGTGATGTGGTATATACACGAATACACATATGTATATGGCAGAGCCATGTCTGCACTCACATGTCCACTGCAGCACGGCTCACCACAGCCAAGACCATGGAAACGCATGAATGCCCCTTGGCAGGTGAACGGACAAGGAACGGGAGCTGCAGCGCACCCAGGAATACCCGGACTCAAAACACCCACAGGAGGGTTTGTCGTTTGCAGCATGTTCATGGTGACGAAAGTCACACGCTGTATACGAGGACTCCAAAGTCCTTACAACACAGGACTGAAATGTTCTCACTGGGCTGGTGTTACAGCACAGGGGTGAAGTCACCTGCCACACACAGTGGAGACCTGGATGGAGTTCAAGGTTCCTGGCTTCTGCCAGGCACAGTCCCAGCCATTGTGGCTATTTGGGGAGTGAACCAGGAGATGGAAGATCTTTCTTCTCTCCCTCTCTATGTGTTTGTGTGTGTGTGTGTGTGCACGCACACACGTCCCTGTGTGTGTCTCCCTCACCACACCCATAACAGCCCTTCAAGTAAATAAATAAATCTTAAAAAAAAAAAAAAAAAGAAAGAAAAGAAAAGAAAAGGAAAGGGAAGAAATCCCAGAGAGCTGATCTGTCTCCACCTCGTGAGAACACAGCAAGCAGATGGCCGCCCTCACCAGGAGCCACCATGCTAGCACCTGGGTCAGATTGCAATGCTGAGAACTGTCAGAAAACCAATGCCTGTGGTCGGGCCGGGCCAGGCCAGGTGTGGGGTTTTGTTATGGCAGCCTGAGCTGACTAACACATCCCCAAGGCCTCCAGAAGAGCATGTGACAACCTGACACAGCTAACCCCACGCGGCCAGGCCTGGTGCTGCAGCAGATACACACTGCCCCCGGCTCCATCTCCTTACTGGCATCACCAGATGGGAGAACTCCTTCATCACCACCGTGTGTCCCACCGACACAGCAGGTACACTTGGGGGAAAAAAATCACAGCATTCCACTCCCTTAGGACGACCTCCTAGCACATCAGGACAAGGCGGTCAAGAGTGGGAATTGAGAAACTGTCTCTATAATGTGCCTGCAGTAAGCCACGCTGCTAACAAAGTGCCGGGGCGAGGTCTCGGATGGGCGAGTCACAGGGCCGGTGGCGGGCGCCATGGAGAACTGGCTACACACACACCTGGGAGCAGGTGAGCTCTCGGAAACGAGGGAGCTGCTTACCGTCACTCAGGTCCTGCAGGAGACCCTCCTGGCAGGAGAAGTCCAGGCTCGCTTTGATGGTGACAGTGAAGGTGGCCGCCTGCCCAGGCTGCAGGGGGAACTGGGCGAGGGTTTCTTCCAGCTTCCAGCTCAGGAAGTCGCCGTACAGTTTCTCTGCAATGATAACAACAATAGTGATGTTGATGGTGACGGCAGAGCAGAGGCACAATGAGACTGATACCAACCCAGCTGGAAAATTCTGGCACACACTCAAAAACAAGATGAGAAGCGTTCAAGATGTCAGAGAGCAAAGTCCCAGGAAAAGTCCTGAATCAGAAGAGGCCGTGAGGCACAAAGAGGAGGGAGAATGCGTCACGCCCGGCCCCGGGCCCCGGCCAGGCCACCATCCCTCCTGGGGTGCCGCAGGACCTGCAGACGGAATGAAAGTCTGTGGCTCCGGCAAGTGAAGCTACGTTTCTCCACCATGAACATTTTCTGTATTGTCCAGCTGTGGGGAACCAGACCCACGTTAAGCAGGGACACCGCTTCAGAGAAAGGAATCCAGAATCAGAAACACACAGCTGGCCGGCGCCGCGGCTCACTAGGCTAATCCTCCGCCTAGCGGCGCCGGCACACCGGGTTCTAGTCCCGGTTGGGGCGCCGGATTCTGTCCCGGTTGCCCCTCTTCCAGGCAAGCCCTCTGCTGTGGCCCGGGAGTGCAGTGGAGGATGGCCCAGGTGCTTGGGCCCTGCACCCCATGGGAGACCAGGAAAAGCACCTGGCTCCTGGCTCCTGCCATCGGATCAGCGCGGTGTGCTGGCCGCAGTGCGCCGGCCGCGGCGGCCATTGGAGGGTGAACCAACGGCAAAGGAAGACCTTTCTCTCTGTCTCTCTCTCACTGTCCACTCTGCCTGTCAAAAAAAAAAAAGAAAGAAAGAAAAGAAACACACAGCTAAGAGCAGAGCCTCAGGCAGGGCCAGTGAGGAAGCGGCCTTGGGCCTGGAGCACCGTGCAGAATGGTAAATCCTTGGAGAAGAGGTTTGTCTGCGGACAGCATGGGGGGACAGCCACTGCATCAGGGCTGGTCAGAGGCTGCACAGGTGACCTCCGCAGAGAAGGGGGGACAGCCACTGCATCGGGGCTGGTCAGAGGCTGCACAGGTGACCTCTGCAGAGAAGGGGGGGCATCGTCACTGCATCAGGGCTGGTCAGAGGCTGCACAGGTGACCTCTGCAGAGAAGGGGGGGGGACATCGTCACCGACAGCAAGGCACCCTATGGAAGGACAGGAAGAGACACGGGGACACCCAGTGTGGCCTGGGAAGCGGCCATCCCTCCTTCGTTGGCAACTGGGAACAAGGTGCGAGACATCCAACCAAGGCCCAGTATTCCACACCTGGGGAAACTGGGACAGCCTCCAACGGCTGCACCACAAGGTCCCCTTCCAACTCTGCTCCACTGAGAGGCTCCCAGCCCCACTGCCCTCCTGCTCACAGGGGCAAGCACAGAGGCCGCACAGCCCTGAGCAGTGAAGTCCAGCGTTCGGCCAGCCAGCAGAACGACAGACACACCAATCACCTGCAGGGCGGGTCAGTCGTGGCTCCCGGGCAGTGCACTGCAGAGCCCAGGGTCCAGGTCTGGAGCACGAGGAACCTTCCCAGAGAGACTTGAGGGGAGGAGGAGAAGCCAGGGTTAGTTAGGAGGAGGAGGGTTCTGGACTTGCGCTGTGTCCAGCACGATCTTGGCATGTGGCACAGCTTAACAGACGTCACGCTCAAAACCGCCTTCACACACTGGCTTTGTGGTCTGCCTCCGGTGTAGCCGCAGCACGTGGGGACTTCAGACATTCCCAGCAGCTATCCTTGGCGGCCACGGCACTGCCCTAGCCCTCAAAGATCCCTGAAGCCTTGTGTGTGTTCCTACTCCCCAGTCTGCACTGCAGCCCTGAGGTCCAAACTGCCCCAGGACACCTGCTCTGGTGCTGTACCAGCTCCAGAACGGATGTTACGCCATTCCTCCCGCACCACGGACGGGACCGAGACCCTCCAGTGACCCAGAAAGTCTATAAACATATTACGTGGATTTTAAGGAACTCCACTTTTTCGCTTTTCAGCCCAGTCAATCTATTCAGAAATGGAATGGGTAAGAGACGCGAGGTGACAGAGAGCCAAGCGGGCCCTGCTTGCTGGGGCCAGTTCCAAGGCCCCAAGAACAAGGAAATGCAGGCTGACTGCCTCCACGGCCTGTGCATGAGCCACACCAGCAGCGGCCCCCTTCCTGAGCACTGCCCCTGTCAGACAAGACACCGGGGCCTTGCAAAACCTCAGTCCCAACATTCCCCCAAGCTGTTTCTAGAGCACAGTCCGTAAACGGCAGCCACTGTGTCAGCTGCCCGGTTCACGCAGCCGGGGGTGGGCAGGAAGCACGGGCAGGCCCTGAGCGAGCGCACCTGCAGCAGGAGGAGCACACACTGAGGGGCCTCGGGAGGGCACTCCAGCCCACATGCCGCACGGGCAGGCCCTGAGCGAGTGCACCTGCAGCAGGAGGAGCGCACACTGAGGGGCCTCGGAGGGCACTCCAGCCCACATGCCGCCCGCTCTCCTCCACCAGCACAGCCTGCTGCCTCTGTGGAGAGGGCCAGGCCCAGTGTCCCCACAGTGGGGTCCCACCTGTCCTCCACAGCCCCACTCACGGGCTGCGTTCCTGTGGGCCTTGTCCCCCCACACACACATATACATACATACACACAACCCTTCCACGCCCCGACAAGTAGGACACTATATCCACGGGACTCATTCTCCCACCAATCAATCAATCAATGGAAGGCACCAGCCCCCAACACTGAGACCCAGCACCTGCCTGGAGAGGCAGGCACCGTGAGGGTTAGGAGCACCTGCTACAGGACAGGGCACCTGGGCTCACCTGCCAACACTGGCTGCGTGTCCTAGGTGAGCCACCACACTTCCGTGTCTGTCAGTTTAGCCATCTGTAAAATGGGCTGTCGTGCCAGGTCAACGAGGTAATGGAAGCCAAGTGCTTAGAACACAACCCGGACTAGAACAGCACTTGGTCAGTGTGATTCCTCCCATGCATCAAAAACCCCTCTCTCTTGTCCTAAGTGAGTAGTCCCTCCCTAGGGCCACGTGAGGATGAGCTAGCCCTGCAGAGTGTGGGACCCCGGCCAGCAGTCAGCAGACATTCTAGCACTAGCTGCCACCAGAGTTCCGCCCCTCCAGCCATGAACAGGACCTGGCACAGGGGAGCAGACAACAGTGACCATAGCGTGGGCCAAGCCACGGTGTTCGGTTTATAATGAGAAAATGGAAACAAGTTACACGGAAAAAAAAAAAACACAAGTAGAAAAAAATGGAAACATATCTGTAATATTAGTCATGGGATCATGGGTAATTGCAAATGGTTTTGCAGTTGTTGAATTTTCTGCAATGAGTTTTTATCATGTTTTTATAAAGAAATACACACAAGGATACTTCAAGAAGTTCACAGAAAATAGAATTAAAGGGTAAGTTTATTTTGACGCCAAAAAAAGATGGAAATCCTTGCATATGAGGAAACTTCAAACCGTTCACGAGAAATGTACAATATGAATAAAGCATGCACGGATTTCAAAAACGTTCGGCACCAAAATAAATTACTTTTAGTTCTGTTCTTCCATGAGCTTTGGGAAGTTCCCTTGAGCCTGCACACACACACACACACACACACACGTATATATATTTGTATAAACCTGGGCTAACAGCTTTAAGTCTAGGCCCCTGCCCCCCTACCCTGGTTTCATGCAGGGAGAAGCCCTGTGGGTCCAGCCTACACATCCACACGCGAGACCAACCACACCAAGGCCCACCCGACAGAGAGAGATGGGTTCTGAGCCAGTGCAGATGCCCTCATGGTGCCCCACGCTATGGCCAGCAGTAATGTTTCCTGATGACAAGGGCAGCAAATCACAGGGACGGTGTGTCCCCAAGTCCCAGGCTCGTCTCAGCCAGCTGAATAAACTTCCCTGGAGCAGCGGATTAACTCTGTGGCAGCCATGCGCATTGGCAGGCAATCAGATGCCTACAAGAAGTTTGGCCAGGCTAAGGAAAACTAGCCCACACTAATTAGGTGAGCTCTGCCTCTCCACGCCACTACCGCGCTCACTTGGCAAGGCAGGGACCATCCGGAGGGACCATCCAGCAGGAACAGCCCCAGGCAAGCAGGGCAGGGATTGGAGCAACTGCCTACTGAGCAGCTTCCCAACAGAGACGCTCCATCCCAAGTCATAAAAGAGCCAATTACAGCACAGAGAGTGCCAGCAATTTGCCCAAAGCCAAGCAGCTGTAAGTCGTGGAACCAGGAGTCGGTGCCTGCCTGGCAATGGCCTCCTCCCGCGATCTGAGGCCCTGAACAGAGCCAGAGTGAACTCCGAAGTGGAGGCTGCATACCAGGGAACTTCATGGAGGGCATGCAGAAAACAACACGGAACACTCCAGTACAGGAGCTCTGGCGTCCGCAGACCCGAGGGTGAAGCCCTGCTTTGCCCTTCACAGCTCTCGGGACAGGCAGGACTGCGAGTCCTGTCAGCCAAGATGCCCTGACCTCCGAGGAGGTGGTAACGGAGTCAGCGTGACGGTAACACAAAGCAACGCGAAGTCTTAGCACAGCAACGCGGCGCCCAGAAACTGCTGGGATGGTGGATGAGAAAGCCCGGGCCCCAGCGAGGTTTGCTTCTCGCATTCCACACTGCCCGTTTCACTCGTGCAAGGAGCATTCGAAGCTGCACAGCCGCTGAGGGCCTCATGGCATGCACGAGGCACGGCTCTGAGCATGAGGAGACCAGGAAGACGTGGCCTGCCCTCGAGAAGGGTCGGGGAGAGGTCTCTGACTGCACCACAGAAGCCCCAACATGGGCCAGATGGAGAAGAGCTCCGTGAATCTGAGTAATGCCTAAATACCACCACCACTGCGTCACAGAGAACGGGGACAGTAATGCCTGCTGAGCTCACTGCCCACTATCCAGGGGCCCGGAACTAAAGGAAGACTCATTGCCCAGTGGCTTGAACTGCTGCGTCCCAGACTTGGCGGCTGCCCATCTAGCCTGTCAGAAATCCATAACTAGTGGGGCGGAGGGCTACATGTTACAACCGGCTACAGCACTCTCCTCGCCTGTCCAGAGGGC